TTTTGTTGTTGTTGTTGCACATAGAGTAGCATTTTGTTTCTTTGTGTATTGATGATGAAATCGGAAGGTTGAGTGATACGGTGTTGTTGAGGATCATGTGCTGTTCATTGTCGGGCATTGCATCTGTCAGCGTAATATGTGAACTGTAGATTGATCATATCACATACGACATTACTGCACATCCCTGAGTGTGTCTGGTTGATACACGGGGCGATATCAATTTTTGACAAAAAAAATCATAAACTGAACATGAAAATGAAAAAAAAAAAAAAAAAAAAAAAAAAAAAGATGAACTAATTCATGAATTGTAGGTAATAAAATATAAATGATCTATCTACTAATTATGGCATAATTATCTATGTGGCCTGTTTGTGTGTCTGCTTGTCGTTCCTTGCCGTTTGTGAGGAAATGATGGCGAGCAGTGTCCCTACCAATTAAGACTTAATATGTTTTGTCCAGCAGCTGTGTGTCTGATGTGTATGTGATGCATGCATTTAACATATGTTTGATGTGAGACTGTCATGTGGCTGTCATGTTCATCGTACGTCTCGTGTGTTTCTGACATGTGCCTGCATGTGTCTGATTTGTGTCTGATATGTGTCTGCTGTGCATCTCTCATCTTGTGTACCTGAATGCGTGTTTTCGATGCATGTTGGTCATCGTGTGCATGGCATTCAGTGCCATTGTTGTTTACTTTATTGTCTTGGTATGATGATCACATGTGCCTTCTTTCCTGAATGGGATAATATTGAGGATATGGTATGGAGAATGTGGTGTGGTGTGGTGTTGATGTAAGGAATATATAGGGTCATTGAGATCATGGGTGGGACAACTGCTGGACAACACCAGGCACTCATTGGAGCCAAGACAAGTCCTTTGTACCATGTGTATGAACTGGAATGCCTCCTGCCCAAGTTCTCAATGTACACACCTTTATCTGATCAGCAGGTAAACCACCATAATCTTCCATGTCACTCCTTTCACGCGAGCTGCCTGTAGAACCTTGTGGGAGAGTCCATGACTTTTTCCCCTCTTTTCTCCTTCCCTATGCTTGATGGTGGTCAGTACAAGGAATGACGCCCCCCATAATAGATGGAGCATGAGTGAATGTGTTTAAAAAACAGTAGCAGCAGCAGCAACATCAACAACGAGGACAATGACAACGACGAGAAAAAAAAAAAAAAAAAAAAAAAAAAAAAAAACGACAACAACAACAACAAACAAACAACAACAGGAAAAAAAAAAAACATCATCAACAACACCAAAAAAACAGCAAACAACAACAAAAAAAGAAAACGACGACAACAATTCTCATGCTAAAAAGAAACTACGGAAGAAAAAGTTATTGAACCAATCTCTCTCTCTCTCTCTCTCTCTCTCTCTCTCTCTCTCTCTGTATGTGTATGTGTATGTGTGTGTGTGTGTGTGTGTGTGTGTGTGTGTGTGTGTGTGTGTGTGTTTGTTTTCCAATCTAGACACGAACAGTGCGACAAAAGGTGCAATACAAACAATAGTAACCTTAAATCAAATATAAAAAAAAGAAAAAAAAAAAAAGCACCTAAACCACAACAAATGAAACGCTAATAAAGCAAGCCACAAGTAAAAATAATTTTAACAAACCTTAGCAATCATGTCCCCTGTCGCCTAAACCGGCAAAAAAAAGAAAAATCCATGGCAACCGCGGACCCGGACCCGAACATGTATGGACCGAGGCCCAGACATTTGTCTGGACTGGTCCAAATGTCCGGTAAAAAATCCGGACAGGCACCGGACAACCGAACAGGACCGGACCGGTACAACAAACACAAAAAATGTCTGGACCGAGGGGAAAAAAAAAAAAAAAAAAAAAA